TGTCCTAACAAGAGTCATTATAGAGATAGCAGAAAACAGCGCCGACAAATCGAAAGCCGCTGGATATGTCTACTCGGGCTAATGTCAACAACCTCAGTCGAATGAACACCGATGAACTTCCTCGTCTACCACCTTTGAGACCCAACCAACATCGAACCCGACGAAGTCAACTGGACATGTGTCCAGACCACGTCGTTCGATGAAAAGAATGACTGAAACACGACTTTCGATTCTTCTCAGATCCTAATACGTTAGAAAACCTGGCACGCGATACTGCATGAACTCCGAAACTGACCAAGGCGGTGACCAACTAAGCTCCGCGAAAAAGAACACAGCAAGAACAAGTCTATATGCACAAGACACTCTCAAAACAAAAAAGTGCGACTACCACGATCCAGCAACTCACAACAGGCACTGGGCATGCCCTTGAAAAGCCAAGCCAATCCCAATCCTCATCTGACAACGATAAAAGCAACTACAACAAGAACAAAGAAAACCTTGGAAAAACGCAAGTCCGACGCAGCAAGACCTAAACCAAGAAGTAATCTCCTCCTCATGAAGAAGTGTTTCCAACGCTGCGGTCAAGCTGATCGAAGAAGAAAAGCGAAGACAACCATGTTGCCAAGCGCAAGTCGACAATCCAGAAAACGAGGACGACTCCATCTGTTTGGACCATCAACAGATGGACAAGAAAATGGCTGCGTCGACAAGGCCTTGCCGAATTATGACTTCAATCATTCGGATGCGAGAGATCACAGTCTGAGATTAGGCCAGAATATCTAACGGAACATGTTCATCTCATACCTACATTTATGAAGAATCTCACTTAATAGTAAACAATTTTTTGCACACTACACGAATCTAACGCAAATCAATATTGCCTATAACTGCTCAACCAGACACTGACATACTGTTCAGCTCGTGACTTCGCCTGCATATCAACTCACTCAACGTCCACGAACAAGGAACTGAACCCTAAACTACTTATGTTAGATTTAACAGAAGGGGAAAGGGAAACGAAAACCCATTAAACTCGTTGCTTACTGATACAGAGTCTCCGGAACTTTAATTGCTCAACCATGCTAAGAGTTTACTCATAAGAATCATGGCGTCAAACATTGCGGACTGCTCATGAAGGAAGTGAACCTGCCGCACGCAGTAGGCAACCGCGATCCTGAGCCTTACGAGTAGTAATCAATGGAATTACACCGTCACCAAGACTGGGGCGCAAGACTTATCAAGTCAAGACCCTCTCGACTAAGAATCAATCTTGGATTTCACTATCATGTCATTGGGGTGGAACTCATGCATTTCCCGGCGGAAGAAGCAACACCAAAAAAGAGAACTCCCATTTCCGTATTCTGCAGCTGTCAGCGCAATGCAAATAGTCTCAAAAGATTCTTAATACGAACATACGAACAAATATCTTAAGGACAGATGATGCCAGCAGTCGAAATCCAGTTAAACAAGGAAGTGCAAGAACTGCTCTCATCGCCTTTTCAACCAATGTGCTTCGGCCAGTCGAGATACTTTGGGAGAGTTGCGAAGGCACGACTACAAGTAGAAATTGTCCCTGACTCTAAATCTATTAACTAGGCCCACCACCACGGGCCATACCATAACACTGAAGAAGCGTTAACGTCTCTGCGAACAGGGACCAAAGAATGAACTTCCAAGGGCGGCACCAACTTATCAGCTTCCAAGAAAGAGGATCTGCACGATCATCTCGCTTTTCGGAACCGAACAACGATAACGCGAAGCCTTATCCTACCAAAGATACGATCATGCTCTGAACCCTATGATTCAAGTGCGCGACAAGTCTAGACCGAACACGCGACAATACCACATCGAGCTCGACCATCACTCGAAGCAACACTGTCACCATTCACCCGCGAAGGAACAGAAGATACCAAAGTGCAAATGGGCCTATGTAATATACCGACATCTTCCAAGAGAAAATGGAACACAATGCACATACTAGAATATCCGTTCATACTGAGATCAACTCACTAACACTCGATCAGCAACGCTTTGAACATAGATGACCTATCCCCAAGACTCAAAGTCGATTGAAATCAACACTACCAAGGCCTTCTCGAAGGAAGAACTGAGTATCTAGACAATTGGGCTTATCGAGAAAAAGCCAACTCATTAACTAAAAAGACAACAGATGCGATCCAGCTATCGCTCCTTCCTACTAATAAGGAAGGTAACTTCGTGGAATTCATTGGACCAATGAACTACCAAGTCTGCTCAGACAGCAGACGAAGGTAACCATCGATCTAAAACAGACCGTGGTTACCAGTATCCAATGACCGGTCGTATGTAAAAGAGAACGTGAGTCCTGCGTCAGAGGTCGAGAAGACCTACCCGGGATGAACATGACTCGTCGACAAGTTCACGCGCAGTCAATCGTGACAAGCTTCACCACATCCGTTTCAAAGCAAACCGGAAAACATCAAGAACGTCGCCAACGAACATCAGAATAACAATGATAAGAAAACGCGAGCGTTCCCTCATAAATAAATGTCAACGATACGTGATGATTTCAACAGTACAGCACCGCAAAGTACGGTCTAGCCAAAGCTACAAAGGTCTTTACCACACAGACGAGTAAGAACAATGGCATGGTACGCTCCAACATACATACCGCCAATAGCGCACTGTCTACCAGACTTGGAACATAAGGTATTTCACCCATACAAGGCCTGACCCCTGTAGGATTTACCACGTGCACGTCATGTTCACATCCAAATCTCCGAAGGCCCCGCACATAATTCATATGTCTCCTTTCGACGATGCTCGTGCTTCCGTGACCCTTGTAGGGGTGCCGAAATTGCAATACCGGCTTTCAGCCTTATTCGTCGACTGGATCCTAGTTAGGGTTTGAGTTCGACTCAAGACTGAGTCTTCGTAGAATAGTCATTTGAGACAGGGCTCTTCATGACGCTAGTCATAATAGGTCCGATGTGAAACTCGCGCAGTATAGCTGAGGTGGAGGATCCACGATACAGATAAATCTATACAATCTTCCACGCCCTTCCGTTTTGGATCGTGAGTGAAGGATCGCTACCCAACCTACTCAATCACACTTTATCAGTCTCCACGGGGAGTTCAGATCTACGATCCTTGATTGTGGACCTCTCTCGTTGATTAGTTTCAATAGTCTTCTTCCTCTCATAACTTTCATCTCTCAAACTCAAAACCCGAAAGACTTTACACTACTTTTAGCGTAGTCACACGCGCGACAACACACAAGCATAGTGATCCTCCACAGGATTCACCCCTCCATGTTTCTCTATGATCTTGGTGTATTCCGTGTCGGCACCCATATTCCTGCAATGCACAGTCTCAGCGAGCCGCACCGGCACGGAGTGTGTCCAGCCAGCCAAAGTCGGAGCCTGAGTGTGTCGGTACTGTGACACATCGATTACTCCTGCCGATAACTAGTAGCCGGCTACAATGGCGGATAACTAATATTCGATTTGTCACGGTATCGCATAAGGATCCCAATGCAAGGTAGGTAACGGTAGTGTAGCCAGTTCAAGCGCGAACCTGATGTGTTCGGACTGTTGACAATGTCGACCGATGATGAACTGTAAGTAAGCTGCTACGATAGCTGGATAAAATATATAGTTCGGTTTGCTGTATCGTCATAAGGATCCAACACGAGGCACTTTCCCTAAGAGTAAGCGAACAAGCCGAACCTGAGTGTGGTTCGGTACGTTGCCTGTCAGCCGATAACTAAAGGCAGCCAGCTACAATGCTGATTTCAAATATTCGGTTGTGTTTGTATTGTCATAAGGATCCAATACGACGTACTTTACGAGAAAAGCGAGCAAAGCGAACCCCCTGAGTGTGTTCGATACTGTTGCACTGTCACCGATGTAACTAATACGCAGCCGGCTACAATGGCTGGTGACAAGTATTCGTTGTGCAGCATATCCGGTCATAAAATCCAAATGGAAGTTTCTGAGTGGGCGGAACTAAGGAATCAAAAGACGAACCCTGAAAAATGTAATAAGTACTAGGATGGCTTTTAAACCAGCTAAGCATTTACAATGCATCCTAGATGGGGATCTGCTTCACCAAAAACTCCTAAAGCTAGCAAAAGCTATATAACAAGTATCCACTGCTGGATCCTTCTACTTGCTATGGGACCTTTCTGACTAGGGACTGCTCTAGCTTCTAGCTATTTAAGCGCAAGTTAAGCACTACAGGTATCTGCTTCTAGCTAGCTAGCTAATAGGGGTATCTGCTTCTACACTGAAACCTTTCTGCCGAGGTTACACAGCTCCGCTGGCTTATTTAAAAATTAATGGGTGATATGAACAATTTAAAACCAGCAGAACGGATTAGGCATCACATCGAACCATACCACAAGGACGTGACCCAAAGCGGGGTACTACAGTCGTAGTAGTGCATCACGCAGTCCTTTTCTAATTTCGAAGGCTGCTTGGCCACAAACAGACTGAACCAAGTTGTTGGCAGGTGTGTCGACTTCCAAGAGATTTAGTTATTTGTCCGTGCCTTCTGCCTGGATCCATGGCTGGAGGTACTGTACTGCAGGCAAGCAGTGGTTCCATGTATTATGCCGGTGACTGCACGATCTTTCGGCCAGACTCCTCGAGTATGGCACAGTGTACGGTATAGACTCGGAGATCTATGTCATCTTGTGTAAGTCTGACTGCCAAATGCCAGCTTGATACTACTTCACGTCCACGTCCATGCGCAGGCGAGGAGAATGCAGGATGACTGCACTCTAATCTTTTGGGAGTTATGCATGATGCTCAATCATAAAGTAGAGGAGAAGCATCGAGGGTACAGTCATAGCTACCGGTAGCAAGCAAGGACTTGCGTAGGAGCTGAAAGCTAGCTAGCGCATAAATTACTCGTACATGTAATTGGTTTGCTTCATTCATAGAACAATCATCAAGAAGGAAACGCACACGTGCAAGAAGAAACCTGAACCAACCCCTAGCTACGATAGCCTACCAGCCATGAAGTTGCCAAGTCTCCTCATTGCCATCTCATCCTTCTTTGCTATTGCACCCCGTGGTACTCATGCTCGCCTCCATGACACTGACATTGCACACTACCGTGATCTTAGTACTTGCGACTGCGCATACTTGGCACAGACAAGCATCGTCGATACTGCCTTTGGCACTTACAGCGGTAGCGTCGCAACGTTCGACGTCGAACTCATCTATGAAGGACTCAGGTTGTATGGAACCCTCACCGATACATCCACTGGCAACAGCTGTACCGGAAATGGTTTCATCGACACGTATTCCTTGGCAGAACTCAGGGCGCCCATCACAATCACATCGGACACGGGGCTGGGTTGTGGAAGCACTGTGGACGCCAGGTTGCAATTCGACGGCGCCAGCACCTTTTACGCAACCCTCGAAGTGACCAGTCTCTTTGCTACCTTTACCGTGAGTACCTCGGGAGACTGTTCCGATGCCTGCGTGGGCGTGGGCGTTCCGACAGACAACCCGACGGCAGCTCCCTTTGTCGTACCCACCACTCTGGCGCCTTCGAGTGCCCCCGTCGTGTCCTCGCCCACGGTGGAAGATACGCCTTGGCCGACCGAGTCGGGGGGCAATGACAATGACAATGATGAAGAGACACCCGCCCCCACGGATGCCTGCTTTTCGGGAGATGCAACCACCGTGGTCAAGGACAAGGGAGTTATGAAAATGAAAGACTTGCGAGTGGGGGACCATGTAATGACGGATGAATCGGGAGACTTTTCTCCAATCTATGCCTTTGGGCACTTCCAGCCGGATCAAGCGTCCACGTTTCTTCAGCTACACACCGGCAACGACAAACCTATTGAAATTTCTGCGGAGCATCTCATTTTTCTGGCTGGTCAAGACAGTCCTGTCCGAGCGGATGCTGTCCAGGTGGGAGATTCCCTCCGAGGTATACGTGCCAATGGTCAAGAGCTACAAGTTTCCAGAATCACCACTGTCAACAAGGAAGGAGTCTTTGCGCCATTCACTCAAAGTGGAACACTGGTTGTGGATGGAGCCGTGGCGTCCTCGTACATTTCGTTGAAAGGAGCATTATCCACCACCGGATTATCATTCCTCGAGATCAAGACCATGAATCACCATCAGATTCACACCGTTTTGGCTCCTCTGCGCCTGTTTTGCATGGGCACCATCATCACCCATGACGTGCACATGTGTAGTACCCTGAATGAGGACGGGATCTCTCACGCAGTTTCGGCTCTGACCAATGCCACCGAGTGGGTCCAATCTCAAGCCTTCTTGTGGATTCAGATTCCCATGGTACTTGCCTATGGCATTCTCTTGGCTCTGTGCTTGGGTTTGGAGCTCTTGTTTGCTGCGCCCCTTGCCCCTCTTGCTGCGGTTGGATGCATTTCCTACTATTGCTGCCGATCGTACATGTACTCTCGCGCAATGAGTGGAAAAGTCAAGGCAGTTTAGTCGGAATATATAATTGGTGGTGGTTAGGCAGAACTTTCGATGTGTAAAACAATTTAAGTTGTTTAGAGCGAGCGAGCAGCCTTGAGTCCTAGAGCAGAGCAGTAAGCATTGTGGACATCTTCGTGCGGTCAGTGAGGAAGAATCGAATCCTGTATTAGTATATTGTGCGAATGCGGCGTCCCGTCCGTCGATGCTTGCAATGATCCTTCCGACAAAGACATGACTGCAGTGTCACCCAATTCCACCTTACCTCCCCTTCCTCCCCCCTCTCAATCCCCTCCAGCCCCCGAGCTCTTACGTGGTGATCTTTCCATTTGCGGCTTGTTCGAACGTGGTACTACAGCTATAACTGATTTGGACTGTGCCTCTTACCGAAACAAACATCCCATCAAAGTTTTAACCCAACAAGAACGCGACAAAATTTCCAAATATAAAGAAGCGTGCGACTCCAATCGTGCTTCCTTCCATCCCTTTGTTGTTTCTGTGGATGGCATGCTTGCCCCCCAAGCCAAGACTCTCTTTTAAAATGGTGGACGAAGATGGTGCTCCTTGAGGTCCTTCCACATTTTCAACAAAAATGCATGTTAAAATCTGATCCGTATCACACAAGACTCCCAAGCTTTTTGATGAAAATGTCGAAGGACCTCAACCAGGAAGAGCGCCCTCGCTTCGTCTACCATTCTAGTAGACTACTGGGACGTGAACCTACCTTCACGCGGAGTCCCCAGTGGTATTACTCTCACATCATGCGCTTTCTTAAAAGTATTAGATGGATAGCTACTAGCTAGATAGGAGTGTACTACTCGCTGCTCGCTGCAACATGTACGGAGAGCTGAGATCGGTATTCTGAATTCTGAGAGCTTGTCATGAACTGGGAACCTGTCGGTAGTATTAATAGCGGTCGGGGTGGTATACGGTACATGTAGTATGGTACCTCCAAGTGAGTCCCTAAGATAGTGGTATTTCCTTTTGTGTTACTTCGTATTCTACAGTGCAAAGGAATAGAGCATTCAATCAGGGAATGAATCGCGCAGTCAGACCATCAAAAGGCAAGCGGGAATTTAAAATTGCATTTCGAATGCGAGTATTTATTGCAATCCCTAATGCATAAGAGCCCTTTGTCAGTCAGACCACACCGTTGCTGCCATGTTGTACTCCAAAATCTTCTTGACCGCCCTTGCCTTTGGTGCTATTCTGCCTCACACTCTTGCTGTTCGGTATGAATCTGGAGTAATCAACACATTCCTGTCATTCCAATGTGATGGAAGAACCAACTTTGTGGTCAACGACGACTTTGAAATCTGTGATGTTGACGTTGAAGTAGACCTTAAAGGGATTGCCGCCGGTCTCGATGGGCTGGTGTTCAATGTCAATTACTATCCTGGTGGCTCCTTTGGAATCACAAGGGGTCTTGTGGGCCGTCATTTTTGTGGTGGATCTGGTGATATTCATGCACTCTTTGATGATGATGCAAGTGCAGGTCCAATTGACTGCAGTTCGAACCTTGTGAATGATGGATCTGCTGTTCAACCAGAGCAAAACTTAAAGCTCCTAGTTTGAATGGCTACTCTTCACAAGAAGACTTGGCCCCTGGAGTCTGGTAGTAATAATTCGACTGACAGGTTACTAGCTAACACGCTAACATTCAATCGGGAGCCCTTTGATTCTCAACCTCCGCTCACCCCTTGTCACACCAGCAGTCCAACGGCCTCTCCCACTGATGCTTCAAGTGATGGAGCTGGGACTGGTGACCCCCACTTCAAGACCTGGGCAAACAAGTGGTATGATTTCCATGGAGAATGTGATTTGGTCTTCATCAGTAACCCAAAGTTCTCGCAAGGAACTGGATTGGAGATCCACATCCGAACCAAGGCCCGCTACCAGTACTCCTTCATTGAGTCCGCTGCTGTCCAAATCGGAACTGATATCTTGGAGGTTGGTGCCTACGGTGGATACATGCTGAATGGAATCTCCAATGCTGAGCTGGATAAGATGGATAAGTACACTGTCACTCATGAAAAGGTCAGCCCCAAGCAGGATGTTTTCACGATTGAACTTGGAGAAGGCAAGCAAATTGTGGTCCAGTCCTTCAAGGACCTCGTCAGCGTCAAGACGGTGGGTGCCGGCTTTGAGGAATACGGCGATAGCATGGGTCTTTTGGGAGAATTTGGGTCGGGCTGGTGGCTTGCCCGCAATGGAACAGTCATGTCCAATGCGGATGACTTTGGAATGGAATGGCAAGTTCTTGAGTCGGAACCCAAGCTTTTCCAAACTCAAGTGGCCGGTGCAGTGCACTATGCCGAGTAGCGAGAGGGTTGGTCGTCGTGGACTTGGCGAATCCATTGCCGAGGCTGCTGCCGAGAAGGCCTGTGAGCATTGGGGAGACCTGAAGGACCAGTGTGTCTATGACGTCATGGCTACTGGAGACTTGGAGCTGGCTGAGGCTGGTGCATTCTAAGAACCACATTTTCTTTAGCTGCATACCCTCACCCGAGTTCCATGAATGAAGGGTTTGGAAGGAGCAGGAATGCCCATCAACTTGATGCCTTAGCTGGGCATTATTATTGGCTTGGTTGTAAGGTACTGGTACTTGATAAGTTTATTTGTAGTGACAAAATATTTGTTACTCTATCCAGCTACTTCTGGCAAAAGCCAGCTACCCGAAAGGGCGACTCGTCATTCTTACATGGACTTGACGGTCACTCGATGGATATTCAAAAGCTGCACTGGCACGATCAATCTAAAGATCTGTTGGTTGGATCCCCTCCAAAACTTCCCCTGAGCAAACGACTCTCCAGTTACCGTACTTGAGAAAGACATGGCTGTGTCACTTCCCATGCTTGTCCTTGATGAGTGGTGATTGTACTTTTGGGACTTTTTCGAAGTGGACTTGTATCGACAAACCAAGTTTGTCCACGGCACATACCACGCTCAGTTGGAAAGCTTGGTTTGTCACACGGAAACTACACCACTACCTTCTACCGTCACTCTCGCACGAATGTTGGTTAGCTAGAGATGCAATTCAATCATTCAAACGATCTGCTCGATGGATCCCACCCAAAGCGCACTTGGAGCAACGACCCTCCAACTACTAAATACAAAACCGGGGTCGTTTTCGAAAACGACCCTCTACGGGACATGTACCGGTACCGGTACCGGTACTGTAGCTTGGAAGGTCGTTTCGACGCTCTCCGACAGGCCATGAAAATCGAGGCTGTGCACCGCGCACAGAAACGTCGAGGTCAAACTACCACAGTCTTGTGCAATCCCATATACGCTCGGTTGAATAGCTACTGATAGATAGATAGCAAGCTCATCATAAACCACGGGAGCTTGATTTCGAATCCGTCAAGAGAGCCATGCCGCGCCTAACGACGGACCATGACAATAACATTGACGCGCTCGAGAAGTCCGTACTGCAAATCCAACAGCTGTCTACATTGCACAACTTGGTGCTTTCTGGAGCTCCTCTAAACATGATCCAACTGGTGTACAATATCCAACCGCCATGAATGACGACGTTTTTTATGATGCCTGCCGATGGTTTACCAGCAAGCCAGATGTCATGGATCATTATGCGGAAGCAGCGCCAAACAATAACACACTCCAATCCAAAGCCATTGCTGAAACAATGTTTGAGTTCTTCGAAGAGTCCCTGACCAAGACAAAACGACACGAGGAGAGATTCAAAACTCTATTCACCAAGTTCCCACAAGCCATGCTATGGCGAAGACTCACGGATATGGAGACACCCTTTGAGCTGGCACTGCATGGCTGCGGCTGCGGAAACGTTTGGGGAGGAAACCAAACGACACATGATACACTGTCTCCCCAACACTGCAGAATCGGCCATTTGCATTCCCAAAATGCCATACAGTTTGCGATCGGATGTCACGGCCAAGCTCCAGCAATTGGAGCACCTTGTATGTTTGGAGATTTTCATTCCAGAGGAGGGTTGTCGGGAGTGGGTGGACACGATTGGTGAGAAGGTGTTTTCTGGACAGCTGCAGACTCTGTTCCTCCACCTCAACGGTGCACAGCCAAATGACTCGTTGTTCCCACTCTTTGATGACATTGCTGCAGCAGGAAGTAGTGCATTGGCTCTGACAAAGTTTGCTGTTTTGGGACAAAAGAAGCACGCCTCGCTCTACCAAGATCGCATGATTGAAATCCTGCAATCCAATACAACGTTGGAAGATGTGTACGTTGGACTATGGGGCGTTGCTCGGGATGAAAAACAGCAATTGATTTCGTACTACGCAAACCTGAACAAGTATGGTAGGGGACTGGCACGAGACCCCCGCAAGCCTTTGCGGGATACTGTCAAAATGTTGAGAAAGTTGGGAAAGGTCAACGGTGAGTTGGATGCCGCAATTGGCTTTCGTGCTTTATGGGATTTTGCGGGAAGCACCCGGAGCATGGATTGAACCTTCCATGGATGAAATCCACTTGATATGGCCCTGGAACAACAATCGCGCCCTTGAATCGAATCTGGAATGAATTGCCTCCTTCGCTTGATGGATTAATTGCCATGGTTGGAAGACAATACCTCGCACTTTTAGTTAGAAAGCATCGTGCAAGACAGCCTTAGCTATCGTATCCATTGATTGGCACTACCAGACGATTTGCTGCTTGTCCGATTGGGTTTACCTCGCAGACTTCCTTTTCGGTTCGGTTCGCAGCTTCCTGCGATCCACGGTCTGCTCCCGCGAAGTCCCTTCCCATGCACGATCAGATAACTATACCAGTACTGCACACCAAGATGAACATGGCAACTACATACCTGTCTTGGACAAGATTCCAAGGCTGCTCCTAGAAGATTTGTTTCTGGGCAATGCTGCGGTGGTTCTTCATGCATGTTGCCTTTCATCGTGCTTTTCAATGGTCACAAGGTGCACAGGAAGACTGGCATGACCATGGGTGATGGAGAGGCATATGTCGCATTGTAGAACGCTGTTGCAGTCCCTGTAATTGCTTGCCAGTTGCAGGTCGTTGGACCAGGAACTTTGAGACCAGGAGCGCAGATTTGTCCTGCAACCGAAGCCGAGCCTCAGATAGTGGGGTTTGTCACAGCAACATCGTTTTCCGCCGCTCGAGGTTGCTGTCACGGAATAGGCGTGGTTGGGGCTGCGCTTTGATTGAAGGTGGCCATTCAAGCTGCATCAGGTCCACAATGGGCCCACAGTGAGCTGGCCGTTGTCGAAGTTCATGGTGCAACTGCTTGATGCGATCTAAATGAGTAAACTCCATGGCTACACCACTGGAACCATAGTGGATGCTCATTCTAAGTGTTGAAAGGTGGCAGTCTTTCGTGAACACAAAAGCTCACGAGCCGAATCAGATTGCTGCATTGGGTTGCATGGTCCCAGCAAACCAACAGAGGTAACACTGGCTCTTTGAAAGTAAGTTGGCCGGGAGGAAAGTTGGCAGGGAGGCAACAACAAAAGCAGAAGACAATTTGGGAGAAACTTAGCTTAACCTGAGCCAACAACGCCTATTGCTTATAAGGACCCTGTTGACTACCTTTTTTACTTAGAAGCCTAGCTAGCTAGAGCCATTCCTTACTGTAGTCCTTCCCATAGAATTGGCAAGCTAGCTGAGATATCTGAACTAGCTTCAATGGCAATCTATAGGCTTCTTTCATCCCACAGAGAGTTACTAGCTAGCAACAAAACTGGCTATAGCAGAGCGAAACAAACGCACAGACTGATTTGGAGCACCAGCGCAACTGACTACCACAATGAGAAAAAGATGGGTTTGTTTCTCATCTTCATGCGATTCTCATGGCCACGTTGGCGATCATTGCCGGCCTGATCGTACGCGACATGGTACTTCTTCTCAAACATTCGTTTCCGCTCGCGTTTGGTCAAGAGCATGCGGGCAAAGTCATCAAAACTGAGCTGACCGTCTCCGTCCGTGTCGGCTTGGTCAATCATGGCTTGGGCCGCCTTGGCAGACACTTGTTCTACGCCAGAGGAATGACGAAAGAACTCCATCAAATCCTCAGTAGTAATGTATCCCGTTTGAGACACATCAAAGGCTTGAAAGGCAGCCTGTAACTTGGAGTGTTTCATTTTCTTGTCGCGTTCTTCGGCAAAGGTGATGAATTCATTGTAGGAGATGTAATTGTTGCCAGCAAGATCAACACAATCAAAGATTTCGTTAATCTCGTGATTGCTCGCATATCCACAATCTAGCATGTACGCGGCAAACTCGTCTCGGGAAAGTTTGCCTGCCAATACAATATATAATTACGGCAATCGAGACAGTGCATGGAATGGGTGAGTACATTCAAAGCAAACAAGTAACACAAACACACTCTGTCTCCTTCTAGCTCGCTACTGTAGTTGTTGTTGTCGTACCATCATTTTTCTGGTCGCAGTACATGAATATTTGATCGAGTTCTTGTCGATCGGCTTCGAGCAGAAGATTGGTGGCAATGTAGGAATGCACGGCGGCTTCCAATTGATCCATCCGATTGACATTTCGCAGTCGCGTCACGACGGATTCGTATGCTTGTTCCGGGAATGCCATGATGCTGCCGGTGGCCCGGGTAATCCAAGGGACCTTGTCGACTTGGATGGCATCCAGACAGGGACGATCCTTTGGATGTTGTGCCAGCAGTCCTTGGATAAAGTCTCGACAGTCTTTGTCGTTTTTGTTGGCAATGTTGTACCAATTGGCAATGCCGGTGGGTTTTTCTCGATCCGCCGGTGTGGCAAACGGATAGTGGCCTGTGAGGAGGAAAAAGGTGAGTACTCCAATGGCCCAGACGTCGGCTTTGGTCGTTGTATTGTCGTGTTCGGGTGGATCAAATCGACCCGCCTTTTTCTTCTTGTGGCTGGTACTGCTGCTGCTGCTGCTGCTGCTGCTGGTGGTGCTGGCAAAACTGGTAGTGCTGGTAGTACTGCTGCGTTTGGGAGTGCCATCAAGATGGTCATTACTGTCGTCATCATTTAGCATTTCCCAGGTGGTTGTCGTGTCGTCGTCGTCATCAGCATGGGTGTCCATGGTAGCAGATGCGTAATTGATCAACATGATATTGGCAAAGGGATATTCAGATTGCTCGTTACGGTCAAAGCCTTTCACCAGGATGTACTGGGGCTTGATTCTTCCATGGACAATGTTCTGAGAATGTAGAAAGGAGACGCATTTGAGGACCATGCGAATGATTTGCGCGGCTCGCTTGTAGAGATCCTTCTGGTCCGCCTTGAGGAGTGTGTGAAAGACTTCCAAGACAGTGGGATGATCGAGACTGTCTGTGACGATGTAGTAAAACTTGTCGTCTTCGTAGGAATCCTTGAGATGTAGTAGATTGGGATGTTCCGTGCATTCCTTCAAAATGGAAACTTCCAATTGAAAATAATGATCAGACGCCGTTTTGTTGTTGCGATGACTATGACTCGATGATTTTTGCACCATTTTGACAGATCGGACTTCCTGACTGGCTTTGTGGACGCACTGGTAAATGCCAGCCGTGTCAGAGATGGTGCGCAGCTTGGCTCCTAGTGTGTACTGGTCTTGGAAGGAGAGTCGCGAGGGAACAGCTTTACTTTCTTTCTCCTCATCTGCTTCCGGCATCTTATTCTTGTTCTTGGGACTCGGCATCTTGTTTTTCACGGCAATATATATAGCGGTAGTCAAACGTCTCGGCGCAATAGAGCAAAACGTAACAAATGCAAAAGGTGTGGGATCTGTTGTTGAATTTGTTGCGGCAAGCCTTTCGCTCTTTCACCGCTTTTGCTTTCTGGGCTGTTGCTTGGACTTATCTTTCGTTACGGGCTTCCCAATCGAATCGAATCGAGTCTATGCCTCATCCAGATAACAACATGCAGACAACTGGTCGCTGCTAGCTGGACTGAGGCTTGTGTTGTCCCGGTTGATGCCACTTCGGTTCGACATCAAGAGCTGATGAGGACAATGACCAGAAGTGAGTCGACTGAGTCCAGTCGATTGACATCGAGTCAGTCATGCGAGCATTGTTGAAAGAAATGCGTCTGGCGGGCTTGCAGGATTATTGTATTCCGTGATATTACACCCCTTCGAGGCAGCAAAACGCTCGGCCCCACCCCTGAAAACTGTGACCAATGGGCATGAGCATCAAATCCTGCACTGGCACTGATCCAGCTAGCTAGCTAGATGTTGGTACGGCACTTTTTATGGTACAACATCATGCAGTGACACATATACTGGGCAGCGCACTAGCAGCCCTACCTAACCATAACTTCTTGTCTATTGCAGTTTTTGTCAGCCCTTAGACGGGGGGGGGCAAAATTGAGGTATGAACTCAATGTGCTTACTTACACAACATGGATGAGCTCACCATTTGTGCCAATGGCTATGCCTCCTTCCTTACAAAAGGAAGGTCCCCTCTTCCCACAAAGAGACAAAGAACAAAAAAATAATATTTCATTTCACTGATTTCCATAACATCATGTTATCAAAATCGAGTCATTGGCTCTCCATGATAGGAAACTGCCTCGTAAATCTTCCTATGACCTTAACTTTTCAATTAACTGTTATTTGATGGCTTGCTCTATACTATCTATATCCTTGAGTGTTCTACAAATCTAGGTAGCCAGCAAGTTCTCATAGGCATCCATCCAATTTATCCTGTGCCCCTTTTGATAAAAAATGTCCATTAGTGATTGTGCCACTTGAAGATACTGCCTGCTCTCTGCATATATTTCCTATTCATGTATGTATACTAGCCGAATGATCTAAACTGCTAAAATGCCCGTTTTCACCAAAAGATACCTGAAAGGGTGCCACACTGACAGACCATTCAGGTTGATTGTAGTAGTGTAGTGTTGAGGTCCTGCATGTTCTCCGAATTGTGTGCGTGGGGAGAGTTGCCACAATTTCAAAGATGTGTTGTAATAACAGCTTCATGGGCTTTCAAACCTTGAATGACCACAACTTGAAGCCAGCCAGTCAAGAAGATCCAAAACGAGTGAGTTTCCATCTCCTCTCTGAGAGATCAGAAGCGAAGCCTTGTTCCATTTCCATGCCTACCGGATACTCCTATCCAACTTTGAGAGCCAGTAGTTAATCAAGAGCTTGGATCTTTGAATCAAGCTCTCTCAAGCCAAGATGCAAGAGGTAACGATGGAAGAAGCCGAACGTATGGCAGAAAATATTTATCATGTTGCCCTCGAGGATAGAGAGCGGGCTTACTCGGAGTTTGTGCAAGAACACTGCGAAATTTGGACGCCAAAGAGTATCTTTGATGATTGCTGTGGCAAGTGGTTGCTCGATGGGAACGGATACCCCGACCCGTTTGGCGAAAGAGAAAGATTTCGTATTGGATGCAATGGAGGGTGCAATCGAGACCACCCCGTGATAACTCTTGACTTTGTTGGCTCCGCGGGAGATTCTACATCTGGCAAGACCACAGCTTCAATCAGCCACTTACTCGACCCCTTTCTTGGCTACTTTGAGAGGCGTGTGCAAGAGGGCACTGCTGCACTGCTGACAGCCACCAGCTTCAAGGACAAGAACCCTTCAGGAACACGTTCCTATCTCTTGGACGGTTTTCTTCGAGAGAATAGGAGTGCTCTCGGCGGCAGCGCAAGAGACCTTGGCAGCCATGGTGAACCAGCCTTCAAAGCCCATTTGATAGTTGTCAAACCAGGAGCATTGGATCGGTCGGATGAGGTCCAGAAGAAGCTGATGGAGATGGAGGATGTAGAAGAACGTGCCGCGAAACGCCGCGGTATGAATTCTTGCTCTCCCGACCCCGATCTATTGTTTGATGTCATGCAAATCTGTTATGAAAACAGCCTATGCGATCATTTGGATTTTGTAGATCTGGCTCATCTTCGATTGACCTGCAAGGCTATGGGTTCTGTGGCTGCCCGTATGGCAGCGAACCGAATGAGCAGTATTCGTTTGTCCTGTCTTGTCATGGTGGATGGGAATTGGAAGGTATTTGGTACTCGTAGTTTCCCACGGCCGGTAGATGACAATCTCATTGAAGACTTTGACGCTTCAGATGAAAGGAATTTGGGCTCTGATGTTTATGTTTTTAAGGCAGCTGGGGACAAGTTAGCGATAGTTCCACTGCTGGAAACTGCCTGCAGCTCACCCAGCCGCACTGAGTATGTTCACGACGGTGATGCAAGGAAGGCGGCAAAAACTGTGACTGTCAAATACGGTGTGTTTATCCCGTCGGAGACGCAGAGTGAGTTGACGTACAACTGGGATAGCGGCCCTTTGTTGGATGGTGACTATCCCGGTAAAGCCGGTGACCCAGACGACCTCTCTAACTATGCGGGCCATCGCATTCGCCTCCAGTGGGGGGCTCTAGAGGGAGCCGATACGACATCAGCCGATAGTGCCTTTATGCAAGGCGAGGAAGTAGTTGGAGACTTTTACTTCCGCGACCCATCCAAACTCGAAGCCATGCAACGCTTGAAAAGCTCAGAGGCCTGGGGAGGGAAAATTGAGCTCCAGATCTTGGGAACAGAGGTCATCAAGACGACCCGCCTAGTTGACGAAAGCGAAACTGGTGAAGTTAGAGAACAGCTCGTTGCTCGCAGTTTCGTCCAGTATCGAGGCTCATTTCGGATCCAAAGGGTGAGCATTGAGTTTGCAGCCCTCTTAAAGTGTGTGGCAACAAAGAAGCAGGCTCTGCTCAATGACAAGCTCGATCAAATCCTGGACTTTCGACCATTGACAAGCCAAGAGGAAGCGCAGCAACGTGCTTTGAAAAGAGTCTTGGAAACCGAAGAGGGGAAGTAGGAGATGGATACTCGAAGCAAAAGACTCGCATTCGGAAACAGCACTTCAAGCTTCATTGAGTTCGTATATCCTTTAAAATAGTAGAACAAATAGTCCCCGTAATGCCAACTAGCACGTCATCACGCACTCTGGCTTGCGACTGCAGTTCTCTCGCTGTGCACAGACATTCTAGCACAGCTCTGGTAGAATAGTTGAAGCTCCAAAGGTCCCCATGGCACCCAGTTTGGGGCGATGCAATGACAGGGTGGCTTCCCTTTCGAAGACTTACTAATGGAAATATTGTTGTGTGCTCGACTCATGTGCCATTGGAGATCACCATAGCTTTTCAGCTTGTGCGGATAACTATGAAACCAGACGGCTCGTGGCAATGCGATCCTTACATTGAAGCCGTGCGGAGAGTAGCGCTGAACGTTCACGCATCAACCACGGCTTGCCCGACACTCTCCAACTGACTGAGAGAGGCGTCAATGAGGTCTATTCCGGTGCTTGCTGCGACCGAAATAATTGAACAAGCTCGTCGATTTCTTCTACCTTGTGCTCCATCAACAACAGATCAAGAATTCGAACTTTGTCTTGCGGATTCGTGGCCTGAGCATCCACACAACTCGTCCTCAGATGTGAGAATGTATCGGGCCCTGTCACATGCGTTTTGTGTGGAACCAATCCAAGCTTCTTAGCATAGATGCATTCCAGCACACACCAGACCCTGCAATCGTACATTGTAAAGAAACCCAACCTGTTTAGATGGTATCATATTTCATCACATCAACTAGCATGTCTCAATTCTTGGTCCTTACCTGCTGTACAGATCCGTCGTCGAGTTGCGTACCACGACAAAAGATAAGGCATGCTCGAGGGCCTTGACAAAAGGAGAGTCCGCCAGCGGCGTCACTTCAGAGCCAACCTGAGCCTCGACGACCTGCAGGTTGGATTGGTCTAGTGCAAACGCACAGATCCACAGGTTTGGCTTCACGACCGCCGTCTGGAAAACCTTCCTAATCGACGTAACAAAGCCACGAAAGGGCTCGTTCCACGCGTGTGTGCAGAAGGCGTCACACATCAGACCTCCTGGGTTGAGAGCCAACGCAAACGAACATCCACTGGACTGACAACGTGGAATGATAATTTCTGCAACAATATCCCGCATGGTCTTTACCGGGTAGTCGTCGCCAAACATCTTGGAAGCGCTCTCATCAACCTGCATCAGCTGCCAGTAAGTGATTGACCACATGCAAGGATCTTCAGCTACGGGCAGCTCCCACTTCCTTGGGTTTGACTGGACAGTTTCCAGTTTGTTGATCACTTCCTTCCAGGCAAGTGGCCTGTCTGAAGGGTTTGGTTGCAGCAAATCGGCAATGAGACTCCTTGGCCAACCTTCAGGAACAAACTTCAGCTTTGAAAGCAAGGCATCTTTGTTCCAATTTTCAATGGCTGCAAGGTCAGTGTCGTTCACATCTTCCCGAAAGTCCATATTGAAGAGCTGAACTCCAGTGCAAAGATAAAACAGCAGCGCTCCGAAGCACCACATGTCATATTGAGGGCTTGCTTGTACTGGTTTTACTGGGAGGTCACCAGTTTCAATTTGACGAAGCCGTCCCTCTAATTCTTTGTGGGCGTGAAGCAATCGAAGCTGTTCCTCAAAGTTCTGTTCGTCATTGGCAGCCTGAACCTTCATTTTCAGGTCTTCCAACTCGGCGCGCACAGCGGGGAGAGCCAGATCAGCATTGTCGTTTGCCTTTCGCCTGCGGGAGCCCTCAATCGCTGCCTGCTCAGGAGGCAGGTACCCCGAGCTGGTCCTTTTTTTGCCGACGACGCCCCCTCCAGCAATTGAAGCTGCGTTGTCCAGGTCGATTGCCGCGTACCCAGCCCCAACGCCAAGCGAAACAAAGTTTCTTGCCTTGACATCTCCATGTACCATCCGGCATTCTTCGTTCAAAAACTGCAGGCACTTGGCAATGCCCGAGCCAATTGCTAGAACCATAGATAGATCTCTCCCGGCAATGTTCTGGTGAGAGATCACATCATTCAAATCTAGCCCTGCCCCGCATTCCATTACCAGAAGGTATTGAAGCTCCTCAGACCCCCCTTGACCAGCAGGACATTGAAGACGAAGGTGCTCGTATGTTTTCAGCTCCCCAAAATCAACTCCAGACTCAACCGACGGCGAATCAGTCATGATTGCGTAGAAATCCTCCATTTCTGATTTCGGTCTGGAGGTGTAGCAGGCTAGAATCGGAACCACGCAAGCTTGAGAACTCAGTTTTCCTTGTTCGCCGTCACCAACTGAAACTTCCCTTTTTGAGATGACCGCCCGCATATCGATCTCCCTGTAAAATGCGTCCCGATTATGAAGGAACTTTAGAGCCACAGGATGCTCTTGCTGTCTCCCGTTTTCATCGAGTCTCGACTCCGTTGCAAAGACAACGACACAGGTCTCTGATATATGCTTTGGTTCTTTTCGCTTGTCTATTTGGTACTTGCGTAGAAACCGTCCATACACTTGCCCCCATTGCCTTAGTTCGTTGGATCCAACCGAAAGCTTGGCGCGATCAGCAACCTTTCTCATCGTATCCTCCCCGACGACTTCCTTTGATAGGAAAACGATAGGTGCAGCTCGGTGCTGGCACTTGATGTGTATTGTGCCGTTGGGTTCTTGCAACTTGCCCAATTGATCCTCGACGATCTGAAGAAGAATGCTGCAAGAGTCTTCGTTGTCGAGGTCTGCCAGTATTTCTAGAAGGGTCCACCCGCGCACCCTCTCCCGATTGAGATCGATGTTTGCTACATGATTCGTCTGCAACTTGAGGCGATCTGGAGTGGATTGACCCGCGTTGGTATCACCAAACAAGGCGAGGAATAGTTCCAGCAAATCAGTACATCGAAGACTGCATAGCTTCTTCAGGGGCCGACCGTCACGCAAGCCCTTTAGAAGAGCACGCAACTGAAGAAAGGTGCAGGAGCGGTTGATACCTTGGGAAGGATCGCCCTTCGCTCGTGGGGAGGTAGGTCTCACCGCCGACATTGAACTCATTGTGACCAGGCAACTGATGGGCGACAAACCAGCATAGTTCTCCAATTCGGCTGCCAATGGGTAGACGTCGCAAAGCATTGTCCAAATCTGCGTCATAACTTTGAGCTGTTTCAATGGAGGCGACGACACTGCACGCACGTCAGTACCATAAGTTTTGATGAATAAGCTCAGCAATGGCGTGTTTCCATCCAAATCTGTTGTCTTTGCAGCTTCTGGGCAGCACCTTAGTATGGTGGACACCACTTCCACGTCAGGGGTTTCTTGTTGAATGGCATGATGCAGCGGGGATAGTCCATCTGTATTTCGCGTCGTCCCAGAGCTTGGACACACGACCAGGATTGCTTCAATAATGTAACATGTAATCTTCTTCGAGATCCCAACAAAGAGAGGAGTATTCCCGGAGCTATCCACCAGTTTTGCAGCGTTTGGGAACGCCTTGAGCACTGGAAATATTGCTTCTAGTGATGCTCCAAAGCCGACTCCCAAAGCCAATGGCGTCTGCCCAAAGGTGTCCACAATACTAGCGGCTTCCGGAAAAGCATTCAAAACAGCTGTGATAGCCGCCGGTGAAGCTCCATGGATCATCCCAATGTGCAGAGGAGTTTGCCCATTGACGTCAGGTTTCTCGTACGGTGGTGGTTGGGACGAATCGTCAGGAGAACATTGTCGATAGGCATTGAGTATCGCCCAGACGGCACCCGCAGATTCCTTCTTCTCCATGATCAAGTGAGCCAATGTCTTTTTGTCTGGAATGGTTCCCACTGACACGACTTTGGAAGGATAATTCTCCACAATGGCAGCCAAAACTCTGGCAGGTGTTCCATTGGCAATGGCGGCATGCAACGTTGTCCTTCCCAAGGAATCTTTGACATCCAAACTGGACGGACACGCATTAACAACGGTCATGACAGTTGTTGTGTAAGCCCCATTCTCTAACAGAATATGCAGTGGAGTTCGCCCTCTCTTGGTCTTGATTTCAGCAGCCTGAGGATCTTGCCCCACGACATACTCAATATTTTCCTGGATCCAAGGTCTCGTCGATTTTTTCATTTGCTTGAAACCCACGGATACCCCCGAGTGCAACGGAGTGTGGCCGTTATTATCTTGTACCTTGGTAGCTTGTGGATAAGCCTCTAGGACAACTTTGATGGCATCCAAAGGGGCCCGTCTATACATTCCAAGGTGCAACGGTAGCCGGCCATTGGAATCTTTGATTTTGGCTGCTTGGGGATTGGCGTTCAGAACCAGCCTGATGGCATCCGTAGAAGCATACCCGTCCATTCCCCAATGCAGGGCTGTTTGTTTGCTTTTTTTCGTCGTAATTTTGGCTGTCCCTGGCAGTTTTTCAAGTATAGCTTCTACCATGTCGACGGGTGCCCCATACCCAACCGCCATATGCAACAAGGTACCCTCATATTTTTTACGAAGTGACTTGAGGTTGGCATCTTTCTCGTTCATGAGCATCGCCTTGACCTTTTCGGTAGTATCATGGCTCCAGAACCTCTCTCTAAGGGCGTTATCCAAGGCTATGCTTATTTGGGTCGTCCTGAACATGACTTTATTGACTCCCGAACCATTGGGAAGCTTTTCCAGATGGTACAGAAAAGTAGAAAACAACTACGATGAGAATCCTGTCGGACTCACTTCTTCTTCATGCTGTACGGTACCATTTCTCCACCGGGTTACCCACGACGTATGGCGAGATAAGATACAGGTATCGTTCTGTTCAGAGAGCCCTCTGTTTTGGTTTTGCTGGAGTCTTGAGTGGAATGATCAAGCCACATTGCCACTGGTGTACATGTACCAGTACTAGACTAGCCAACCCACTCCTTGATTTGACACTGCAATATTATTTTGGTTTTGCAGCGAACTGAACTGCAGTCCACGCTGCCGCGGAGAACTATCCCAACCACAAGTACCCTGGACCCTCCGACGGTTTTCACTCAAGATTTAAAAACAAACTTGAAATTCCCACGACTGATGACGGTTTAAAACATGCCCTTAAACATCCCTTAAATCTTCAACATGCCCTTAAACATGCCCTTAAATAAACATGCCCTTAAAACATGCCCCTAATGCCTCAATACATGCCCTTAAGCCAAAACCATAGAGGTAGTAACATGCCCTTAATCACGATAAGAGACGACATAGGTGTCCTTAAGATTTAATGTATATCGCCTATAACGCCGAGGCACATCGGTATGTAACACAGGTCTGGAAGAATCATTTTGGGATAATTGGATACAGTCTGAAGTTCTGGCGCTTCTGGTCGGCTTTGATTACACAATGTTGCTTCGGCCCGACTTTGAATCGATAGGTGCGGCAAGTGCCCAAGAATCAAGTTTTGATTAGATGAAAGTGAGACGCCACTGAAGAATCTTAAGAAATTATAAACTATAACTTTTGAACTTTAGAAGCTAGTTGTAAAACCAAAGAAGACAAACACACATCCGCACCCGGAGAACTAGTCCAATGAGGATATGGTGGGGAAGGATATGGGAGCAGAGACAACATCAGCCATTTAGCGGTGAGACTGAAGAAAGGATGCTCCCTCCAAGAATCAAGTCTGGAATTCGAAGTGTAATTGAAAAATGTCTGCATAGCAAACTCATATTCTCCCTCCAATACAAGAAAAGGAATAGAACCGAGATAGAAAGGCACAAATGGGGCAAAAGAATAGTAAATGAGAAACACTGTTGTCAAGTGTGTTATTCTGCCTAAGCGTCACATGAAAGCCCTATTAAGGTAGCTGAAGAGGTCGGAGGTCTCATCAGAACGTAGATCTACTGCTGCCATTGTTGAACCTGCATGGATAAAATCGCATACACCATTACAGTGTTGGGCACTGCTTGGATAGTGATACTTATCAGTGGCTTATTAAGAACAGAGAAGCGCATCAGGTCAGATAGGTAATCCCATGGTGGATGAAGCAAGGTTGCCACCAGCAGTGATTGGCGCAGAAGCTGGAGCAGCTGGAGCAGCTGGTGGTGGAGTAGCTTCCACAGTGAGGGTGCGTTGCTAGAGAACTTGCGGAACCGCAACAGATAGTTACACTGGCTGAATATGAGCACATACGCGAGCGTCCAGTTGTTACTTGAGAACTAGTATATCACAACACGCAATACAAACATG